GAAGTCACCCAGGGACGCCAGCCACCCCCGCCCTCCTGGAGGGAGCGAATTATGTTAATAATTGTCATTATGTTGGAACTATGTTAATAATTGGAAAATAATGTTGGAATTGGAATAATATATTGATTAAATAAATTATATTAAAATTAATTACAAGATTACTTTAACGACAAAATACCAAGGACACGTTAAAAATTCAGCCCCCAATCACTCAGCAGCCCCCCAGCCATACGTTCAGACCCCCAACAAGTCCCCTAGACCCCCCCAGCCCCCCAGNCATGCAACACAGCTGCCGTCACTACCATGCAACACAGCTGCCGTCACTACCATGCAACACAGCTGCCGTCACTACCATGCAACACAGCTGCCGTCACTACCATGCAACACAGCTGCCGTCACTACCATGCAACACAGCTGCCGTCACTACCATGCAACACAGCTGCCGTCACTACCATGCAACACAGCTGCCGTCACTACCATGCAACACAGCTGCCGTCACTACCATGCAACACAGCTGCCGTCACTACCATGCAACACAGCTGCCGTCACTACCATGCAACACAGCTGCCGTCACTACCATGCAACACAGCTGCCGTCACTACCATGCTACACAGCTGCCGTCACTACCATGCAACACAGCTGCCGTCACTACCATGCAACATAGCTGCCGTCACCATACCGTAAAAATATAACTCAGTACTCACTGCAGTCGTCGACAAAAACGTGAAGTCACGGACGGACAGACAGACAGACGGACGGGCGGACGGACGGACATGACGAGCACAATAGTACATTTTTTCCATAAATGAGACAATTTGCTAAAAAGAGGTACCGTAAGTTCCGTTCTAGATTCCTAGTCATAACCAACCTAACAAAAATGGGGTTTCTCCCAGGAATCTTTCCAAGAGTCGCTACACTCGGCTTGGACTTATTCTACATCTGCTTGACAACCCTACCGAAATTAGCTTCTAATCAGAATCTTCTTTTAATCTTCAGAAAAAAGTCTAGCCGGGCAAAGTCACGCCGAGCTTGCCAGCTGCCCAGAGGCTGCACTTCAAGCTCGGCCGAGGCGGACATTAGCGGCTGATTTACGCGCTCCCCGAGTCCTGGGCGGCACTCTTTGCAGTCAGGGCCTATACTTTCAAAAAAAGTTAAGAGATCGTAAGTTCATGAGCCAATCATTGACGGCCTTTCAAGCAAAATCCACCAATCATAGGCAAGAAAATAGAGCTTAAGTACTTACGTTCACTTAGCGAGTTTTGAAAGTATGGCACCATGTCAGCATCCTAATTTTTTGCGTTTTTGCGGCGAGCTTGATACCAACGCACAGGGATACAACACAACTGATATCGGTCTGCACGAAGAGGCAATTTATTTCCTCAAGGCAAAGACCTGAACCATTTACGTAACTGGTGGGGAAATTTTTTTGCTAACATTACTAACAAACAGCTGGCAGAAAATAATATAAATAAGAACATAATTGGCAATAAATTAGTAAAATTAGGATGGATCTTATCCAGGAAGCATTATTTACTGGTCACCAGGCACTAGTCACTAGTCTACTCACTTGTCTATGCGCGTGTCTGCCCCCGACTTGAGTTCTGCCAGCTGCTGTCTGCTGTGCTGCAGCTGCTCCAGCTGCCGTCCAGCTGTGGGTTACAGTTACTATTACGTTACAAAAAAAATTTTTTACTATCCTGTTATCAGGAACAAATTTCGTGTCATATTCACGTAAATATACCATAATGCATCAGTGATACTTGTCACTGTTGGTCGCAGCAACACACGATACATGGTGCATCGGATAAATGGTGTAAGAGCAGGATCCCTAACAAAATTTGGGTACCGCCCAGGCTTCTGCCCAAGAGTCGCTACACTCGCTTGAAGTTATTCTGGGTCTGCGGGCCACCCGACCGAAATCAGCTTCTGGTCAGACCCTCCTTCTTGACTTCATAGTGTATTGATAGTGTGACAAGTGTGTCCTGAGAGTATGACAAGTGTGTCCTGAGAGTATGACAAGTGTGTCCTGAGAGTATGACAAGTGTGTCCTGAGAGTGTGACAAGTGTGTCCTTAGAGTATGACAAGTGTGTCCTGAGAGTATGACAAGGGTCGGTAAGCTGCCCAGAGGCTGCACCTCAGGCTCGGCCGAGGCGGACATTAGCGGCTGATTTACGCACTCCCCGAGTCTTGGGCAGCACCTGGTGCAGAGTCGCCGTAGACACCAACGACCGAGCGCGTTACGCCTATATGGATGTTCTGGAAACACGTCCTTTGTTGCCCTGCAGGATGACGTGTAGGATGGCAGGCAGGATGGCAGGCAGGCTGGCAGGCAGGCTGGCAGGCAGGCTGGCAGGCAGGCTGGCAGGCAGGCTGGCAGGCAGGATGGCAGGCAGGATGGTAGGCAGGGCGGCAGGCAGGATGGTATCCAGGTCGACGTGCAGGATGGCAGGCAGGAAGACGTGCAGGATGTATGCAGGACGCATGCAAAAAGACATGCAGGCTATGCAGGACCAGCATTACACAGGCACTGGTCACTAGAACTACCAGTACCTGATGTAATACTCAGCCCGCACACCCCTCACTAGCACACTAGTGCTTCACTAGTAGGATACTGATGCATACTAATAGGCTACTCACAACTATTATTGGTACTACTAGTTGATCCAATGGCAAATAGTTACTCTAGATCCACTAACTACCATCCATGCAAGAGACATTCACTAGCACACTGCTACACTAGTATGATACTCACGATCACTCACGAATCATTATTGGTACTACTAATTGATCCAGCGCTTACAATGGCAAATAATCACTCTAGTTCCGCTTGTCCGATGTCAATCTGGCGTCTCATTATAAGCATTATATTGTATGTGATTGAGACGCAATATTCACTTGACCTGATAGAGATTGATGACGAGTCAACATCTGGAAGACACGTGATAGATCACGCGATCAAGACCTGAGTTGTGGGCGGAAGCCAGAAGCCTATATAAGGTCTAGCAACTTTAAGTAAAGCCTCCGCAGCAGTCGATAGGCTACGGCGTCGACCGTAAGGTCGGAGAACTATACCGACACGCTAGATCGCGGAACGCTTATCGACTACTGCGAGGGGTTTACTAATGTTGCTAGCCCTTATATAGCCTTTGCTTCCGCCCACTACTAAGGTCTTGGACCTTTCTTAAGGTTGCTAGCCCTTATATAGCCTTCGCTTCCGCCCACTACTGCGGTCTTGATCGCGTGATCTATCACGTGTCTACCAGATGTTGACTCGTCTACAATATCTATCAGGTCAAGTAAATGTTGCGTCTCAATTTCATACAATAATAATGATTATAATGAAACGCCAGATTGACATCGGACACACTAGCTAATATCCATGCACTAGATAGGTACGTATGTAAACTAAACTTATTTATAGAAAGAACAGGATTAGGTTAACATTTAGGGATACACTAGTTAAACTAGTGACATCGTAGTCAAGCAGCATTATAGGTACAAAATATTTAGAAAACTACGTATGTAAAATATTTATAATAATGGCAAGATCAGAGATTAGTGACACTAACACTTAGATTAGAACCTGGTAGAAAGAATTAGTAGAATTAGTAACCTGGAACTAGCACTAGCATTGCAGGTAGTAGAAAAGTCTAGTTCACTCTACTAGTGAATGCATGCTGGAGGCAACATTAGCACCTATAGTAACTACTCACAAGATGGAAAATATACAGTATACACATTTAGTAATTACGAATTAAAATAAATTCAACTGTGCATGTTCAACACTATACAAGATATTATTTTTATAATTATCGCACATACTTATATGTGTAATATAAGTATGTATATAAGTATATATTACACATATATTCGTTCACCACACAAGCGACACAGGCAGCAGTGCTCATCTGACGAGCAATTTGTATTTGTACTTTGGTTGTACTTGTTTTGTTGTTGGCATCCGTCCATCTCGAGAGATGATGGTGTGTACCCCGTCCGTCATCGCACAACACGCTGTCGGCAGCGCCTCGAGTGGCTCGCCAGGCCGATTCGGGCATGGCAGTCACGACCGCAGTTGGCGCAAATAAAGTCCGATGGTGCGACCATGTTATTCCTTGTTTGCTGTCTGGCTTTCCGGAGACGGTGCTTGTCTTCAAGCTCACGGCTGCGCAGCTCCTCACCCCTCCGGACTCCCTCCCGAACGGCCCGCCGCCAACTGCAGCGGTCGACCGCAAGCCGCTCCCAGGTTTGGGGGTCGATAAATGCTGTTTTGAGGCTGCGCTTGCAGACGTCTTTGAAGCGCAAAGCCGGACGGCCGGTCGGGCGCGCACCCGCAGCTAGTTCCCCGTAGAGCAAGTCCTTGGGAATGCGACCATCCTGCATGCGATGCACGTGTCCGAGCCACAGGAGACGGCGCCGGCACAGGAGGAGATGCATGCTCATTGTGCCGGCTTGCTCCAAAACAGCTGTGTTTGTGACCCTGTCCTCCCATGTGATGTTAAGGATGCGGTGGAGGCAGCGAAGGTGGAAGCAATCTAGACGGTTTTCCTGTTTAGCGTATGTGGTCCAGGTTTCGCTACCGTACAGAAGGGTACTAGTGACGCACGCATGATACACTTTCAGCTTAGTGTGAAGCGACAGCTGCCTGTTGGACCACACCCTTTCGTTCAGTTTGGCCATCACACTTGACGCTTTTGCAATCCTCTTGTCGATCTCGCTATCGAGGGACAGGTTGTTGCTGATAGTGGAGCCCAGGTAGGTGAAACGCTCGGCGACTTCGAGCTGATTACCGTCAATGGTGATAGACGGGGGCACTACAACATCCTGACCCATAACATTTGTTATCCTGATGTTGATTGTCAGGCCAAACTCCCTGCAGGCGTGAGCGAAGCAGCCCAACAGCCTTTGTAGATCCTCCTCGGTCTGGGAAGACAGCGCCGCGTCATCAGCAAAGAGCAACTCTCTGATGAGGACAGCGCGGACCTTTGTTCTTGCTCTCAAACGAGCCAAGTTGAAAAGTTTGCCATCGCTTCTGGTGTGTAGAAGGATGCCTTCAGTTGAGTCTCTGAACGCGAACTTGAGCAGCAGTGAGAAGAAGATGCCGAAGAGAGTAGGGGCCAGGACACAGCCCTGCTTTACCCCGCTTTTGATACTAAAAGGCTCTGAGGTATTGCCATCATGGCTGACTATTACGCAATGTACAAAGGCCTCCGCTGCTCACGACACTTCTCCTGCAGCTGGCGTAATGAGAAAATCATGTCTGATGTGCCCCTCTGGGCCCTGAAACCGCACTGGGATTCCGGGTAAACGCGATCAGCGAGGGCTTGTAGGCGACCGAGCACCACACGGGCGAAGACCTTGCCCACAATGCTGAGTAGCGATATCCCTCTGTAGTTGTTGCAGTCGCTACGATCGCCTATGTTTTTGTACAAAGTGATAATCTTTGCGTCGCGCATGTCTTGCGGTACCTGGCCCTCCCTCCAGCAAAGACATAAGAGCTCGTGTAGGGGGCCAAGTAAGGCCGGCTTGCCACTTTTGATGACCTCTGGGGGAATTCCAACTTCTCCAGCTGCCTTCCCACATGGGAGGATGTCGATGGCTTTGTTTAGCTCTTCGACAGATGGTTCAGCATCCAGAGCATCGAGGAAAGGCAAGTTCTCAATAGCGTCCAGCGCTTCCTGCGAGACGTTGTTAACGTTGGAGTAAAGGTCGAGATAGTGTTCAACCCATCTATTCAACTGTTCGGTCCTGTTGGAGATAAGCTCTCCCGACCTGGACCTCAACAGAGCCGTCCTCGCTACCGGTCTCCCAGTTGCTCGCTTGATCTCCTCGTACATGCCTCTAACATTGCCCGAGTCTGAGGCCCGCTGAATGCTGTCCGACAGCTGCAGCCAGTAGTTGTTTGCGCAGCGGCGAGCCATTTGTTGGGCCCGCTTCCGAGCCGCTCTCAATGCCTGTGGTTCCGCTGGCTTGGATCACTTTTGTATTTAAGCATTGCTCTTCTTTTGCTGCTGATGGCAGGTTCCAGCACGCAGATGTTGGCCCCAAACCAGTCCGCACTATTTCGCTCCTTTATACCATAGGCCAAGACAGCAGCATTATAGATGGCGCTGCGGAGAGAGCACCACCCACCGATTGCGCGCTCTGCTCGTTCGGCAGGGAGCAGCTCCGCAAGATGCTCGACTAGAATTTGATTTCCAGCGGGACAGGAGGCCTTGCTGGCATCAATTCTTGGCTGGCATTTCCTCTTGAGAGTGTGTAATTTCTTTGGTTTAATTTTGATGTTGGATATGACCAATGAGTGGTCAGTATCGCAGTCGGCGCTGTGGTATACTCTTGTGTTTCGCACGCTGTTCAAAGAGCCGCGGCGTGTGATAATTAAGTCCAGCTGGTGCCAGTGCTTCGATCTGGGATGTCTCCACGATGCCCTGTGGCATAGTTTGTTCTGGAAGAACGTATTTGTCACGCACAAGTTGTGGTGGCAGCAGAATTCTAGCAATCTTTGGCCGTTTTCATTCATTTTCCCGATGCCGTGATGACCCAGCACTTCAGGCCAGGACTCGTGGTCTGTCCCAACTCTGGCGTTGAAGTCGCCCACGAGGTAAATATGCTCGTGCATTGGGATCCTGTCAATGGTATTCGCCATGAGTTCGTAGAACCTATCCTTGGTCTCAGGCGGTGCTTGGAGCGTTGGTGCGTAGACACAAATTATGTTTGCAAAACCAGCCGACGTTGAAAGACGTAGGGTGAGGATTCTCTCCGTGCCGCCATGCGGGGGCTCAATCGTGCGAAGCAGGGTGTTCCTGACAGCAAAGCCAACTCCATGCTCCCTCACATTTCCGATTCCTCTCCCCTGCCAGAAGAAGGTGTAGTGTTCCTCTCTTAGGGAGCCATCTTCTGGGAGTCGAGTTTCCTGCAGCGTTGCTATATCCACGTTTAGTCTATGTAGCTCCCTGTCAATCACTGTGGTCTTTCGAAAGTCTGAAATGACACGGAGGTCATCGGACAGGCCGGTGCGCATCGTACGCACGTTCCAGCTTGAGATTCTAAGAGATGGAGACTCCATCTGCTGCTGCGGTACAATGACTCCCAACCGTCGAAGTCAGACCCCGGAGTCCAACTCTACGCTAGTTGAGCGAGGAATTAATGCCCGTTAGTTATCGTAGTTAACGTCTCCCGTTTGTGCTCACACACTGGACAAACGTGACAAGCGTGACCTCTCAGGGGCACAAGCCTGGGCGGAAGTATGGAGATCTTGCGCTGCCCAAACAACAGGATCTCCCCCTCGGTCGTGCCGACTGGGTCCAAGGGAATGCCAGCATTACGTTTGGAGCCGACTTGACTGCAGGAGTTGCCGGGAGGACGTCCAAGTTGACATCCAGCCGCCTTAGGGACTCCAACTCCAGATTTTTCCTCGAGGTTTACTCCTGAAGCCTTTCCCGCGTGTAGGTGTAGCCGCAAGGCAGCGGAGGTTTTTTTAAAAAATCAGGGTTTTCCGTCCCCTAGACGGGCAGTCATTCTTGACTAACGAGCCCCATCTACCCGGAAACAATCACTGCGTGTAAAGTTAAATAGATTGGAACTGTACATATGCGTCTTTTGATAATAGTAGTAAATTACTTGGGCGATTTCGTGACCTTGGTTCCGGACATTTGTGTAGGGCCTTCGAATGTGAGCCACAGATAGAAGCGAGCTTTGGCTAGCAAAGTCCCGCTGTGGCCACTCCGTAAGACTGGCTCAATAAAACGTGGTAAAGGGAACAGTGAATGTATGGTAAAGATGTATGATGTACAATGTATGGTAAAGATGTATACTGTACAATATACATAATTTGAATACCGTACTCTTTATGTGTATATACAAATTCAAATTTTACATACAACATAATGAACAGAATATGACATGAATAATGTTATTCATATCATATTCTAAAATAATATTCATATAAGATTATTTCATTATTATATTAAATATTATTTCATTCAAAAATATTATTTACTTTTTATTAAATATATATATTTATTCATATTTATTATTACATACTATTTTCAAAGGAAATACAGTGAATTTCACGTAAATAAAAGAGGGAACAACAGCATGGACACAATATTTAACATGAACTAATTTACAGCATGAAATTGATTCGCAGCTTCAGCATGACGACGATTTTTGCAGGAAATTCAGCATGCAGATGAATTCTCAGTGTGAAGTTGCCAGCATGAAGTCAGTTATCGACACGCTGAATAATGTTGTTCATGCAGATGAATTGTCAGCATGCAGATGAGTATACAGCATGCAGGTGAGTGATCAGTATGATGGGAAGGCAGGGCACAGCAGCAGGGGATCTCCCTCAGCATGCTGAGCAGCATGCAACGCTCAGCATTACGGAGTGAGATTTGCTCCTGCTGCGCAAACTCATGCTAGCTCGTGCATCACTCTAACTGGGGCATCACACCCTCACACTAACTGGTGTGAGTAAACGTGTAATTATATTAAAAAAATTGTAACAGTGTTTGTATAAAAACATATTTTTTTAGTATAAGAGTGTAATAAGGGATAATACGCCAAATAAGAGTCAGGAAATACGCCAAATAAGAACCAAGTAATACACCAAATTAGAGCCAGGTAATACACCAAATAAGAGCCTCGTAATACACCAAATTAGAGCCAGGTAATACACCAAATAAGAGCCAGGTAATACACCAAATAACAGCCAAGTAATACACCAAATTAGAGCCAGGTAATACACCAAATAAGAGCCAAGTAATACATCAAATTGAGCCAGGTAATACACCAAATAAGAGCCAGGTAATACACCAAATAACAGCCAAGTAATACACCAAATTAGAGCCAGGTAATACACCAAATAAGAGCCAAGTAATACATCAAATTGAGCCAGGTAATACACTAAATAAAAGCCAGGTAATACACCAAATAAGAGCCAGGTAATACACCAAATAAGAGCCAGGTAATACACCAAATAAGAGCCAGGTAAAACGCCAAATAAGAGCCAGGTAATACACCAAATATGAGCCAGGTAATACGTCAAATAAGAGCCAGGTATTACACCAAATAAGAGCCAGGTAATAAACCAAATAAGAGCCAGGTAATACACCAAATAAGAGCCAGGCAAAACGCCAAATAAGAGCCAGGTAATACACCAAATAAGAGCCAGGTAATACGTCAAATAAGAGCCAGGTAATACAGCAAACAAGAGCCAGGTAATACACCAAATCAGAGCCAGGTAAAACGCCAAATAAGAGCCAGGTAGTACACCAAATAAGAGCCAGGTAATACACCGAATAGGAGCCAGGTAATACACCAAATAAGGGCCAGCTAATACACCAAATAAGAACCAGGTAAAACACCAAATAGGAGCCAGGTAATTTAATACACCAAATAAGAGCCAGGTAATACACCAAATAAGAGCCAGGTAATACACCATGGTGCTAATAAAAGCAGGTGCAGGGGCAGAGCAGCAGGCCAATAACAGCAAGCACGTTGATGCTCTTAACACATCAACCTTACCTGCTGATATTAGCCCGCCACCCGCAACAACAGTCATTGATATAAATAACAGCATTCAAATACAAGTACAAGATAATAGCAGCACTCAAAAGTAAATCTAGAATCAATACAAATTAAAATAACATGGGTGCAAAACCTGGTATAAGTGCATGTATTAGCAGCAGTGTCATAAATAACAGTTATGAAAAAAACTTCAAAAAATAACAAAATCTTCAAAAACAACAGTAGGCAAAAAAAATTGTATAAATAACTGTAATATCAAACCCTGTTAATAAGAGTTCAACAGAACAACAGCAGCCACCCACCTTGTGCTTGCAGTTGCTGCATCTGCTGCTGCTGTTGTTGTACCTGAGCACCTGCAGCCCGCAGCTGCGCCTGCAGCTGTTGCACCTGCTCCACCTGCACCTGTAACCGTTACAGCTGCTAGAGACCATGTACACACGGAAAAATGAGGGGGACTGTCCTAAAAATCGATGCATTTCTGGCCATACGTGGGTCGTCCTTACCAGGTTTGGAACTGCAGAATGCCGTATCAGAGCTAAAATGTGACATTATTTGGACAAATTAACCTATTAATTTTTCCTGCTGTAGCGGGATAACTACGCTCCATACATCGAAGTTACTGGGTCTCTGAAAGCAGGCCTAACGTACGAGAAATAATTAAAACTGGTTCAGCAAATTTTAAAGGGCCATAAGGTTTACTTAAATTTCATTGAACACCGGCATCCACGACACAAGACTATCACTAAATACATATAGGTTTACGAATACAGACATTATATGGACATTAATTACAGATATTAACAGCCATTACAAAGTGGGGTAGGTCAGGCATAGGTAGGCTGCCTACTGGCAATGAGCTGCTTCCCGAGTAAACTACCTACGCATACTTCTTCTCTTCAGTCTCTGTTAGAGAGGTGCAGCGGCTGAAGAAAACTACAGCGCGACCAAGGCTGGCCCGCTACACTGCTGCTATGGCACAGCTACTAACCAGTTACAACTGCACATTCAATAATATGAAAATGTTGTTAAGGTGATCATAAATGAGCATCATGCGTTAAGATGATTACGAAGAGTTAATCGAAATAATGGTTTAAAATATGAAGAGAACGAATGCATAAACAGCACAATTTAATATAAAATTTCCCATTTGCTACCGCACGAACGATTATTTTAATGCAAATTATTGAATTAAATGAGCTAGAAATTAGCATATTGAATTCTAAACCTATATGGTACTATGCAATCATGGGAGCATTCGTGTCGATCTTGAAATTTTAAATGTCAGAAATTCATTACAAACAGTTAAGAAATGTATTTAAATTCATATCATTCTACTTCTGCAAAAAAATTTCATGTTAAAAGGAGCCCTCAACAATACTTTGCACATCGCTTAATAATTTTTTAATATTAATGTCAGACTCGGCCCACTGAATTACTGTCATACTGAATTACTGATTTAAATAATTATTACTGTGATTGTAAATAGGATTATTCATATGATAATGAGAGAGGAAAATCTAGATATATAATTTTTAAAGCTATGATGCGTGTTCCCACGAACAGAGTTCCGAATTAATAAAGGCTTTCTTCAGAGCAGTTTCCTTTCCACTTCGATTTTTGTTGTAATGGATTCTTCCTTCTAAATAAATGGGAGGTCGCGCTGAAATTTTTGTACAGATTACGAAGAGATAATCGTAATTATGTTTTAAAATCTGAAGAGAATGAATGCATAAACAGCACAATTTAATATTTAATTGTCATTTACTACAACTTGAAGTCGTACAGGAAGTCGTGAACAATATTCAGCCTTGCATAAATCATTCATAACAAACTTTGCATAAATCAACTTTATAAATAAATCATCAACTTTGCATAAATCATTCATAACAAAGAATGAATGGTTGTAAAATATATGGAGCGATCTAAATGGAGATGTTGTTTATGAATTCATTGGAACATATTCAAATAAAGTTGAAAATTCCATTATAAATTAGTTAGTACTGCTATGTTACATTCTCCACTAATGAATAGAGAACGAAAACTACCACGAAAACATGAATGAAAACATATCACGAAGAAATGAATGTTAAACAATTTTGCACAGTTAGTTAAAGAATTTTTTTGCCTTCCCAGCGAGGGCATGCGTGAGTACGTGTGTACATTTAAATGCGTTAGAGGGGGTTTCTATTTATATTATTATAATAAATTACATTTCTATTATTATAATAAAAAAATTAGGCTTATTTTCTCGGCGTGTTACCGAGGCTTAATTTGAAACTTACTTGTGCCCAGAATCCTTGTATTAAAATAAGCTGCACCAGACCTTTCACTGCCCTTCCAGTATTTACATTTCGATTACGACCAGTACTTGAGCGTAGCATGAGGTAAACTAGGCAGAATAAAAATCCATCTTAGTTATGACTACGAAAGCAATGCCTTTGCATTTGTCACGGAAGAAGCAAAATTAAGCTTTTTGAAGACGTTGTCCTTGGATGATGATCAAATTAAAAACCTCGAATCCTCAAACGTTGAACAAAGTAATTCCCTGTTGTGGCACGAAGAGAGAAGAAAGAGGCTGACTGCATAAAATTTCGGTCTTGTATGTAAACTGAGAAAAAGTACGAATAAGGATGCTGTAGCCTACAGGCTGGTTAATAATACAACTAGTTCGCTCCCTGCTGTGGTATGGGACAGAGAGAAGGAAAAAATAGCAGTGAAGATATTGCAAGAAGAAATGTCAATTACAATTAGAGGCTGTGATCTTTTTCAAGTTTTTGTGGATAAAGTCTATCCATTCTTGGGCGCTTCGCCCGATGGTCTCGTAGACAATGAGTACATTGTTGAAATTAAGTGCCCGAGCTCTGCGCGTCATTTCAGAACAAAGATGCTATCCGTGAAAAAAAATGCGACCATTTGAAACTAGTTGATGACCAAATTACTGTGATCAGACGACATTCATACTTCTATCAAGTTCAAGGACAACTGAGGGATACAGGGAGAAGCAAGTGCATCTTCGTATATACATACATACGTATACATATACATACATATATAGTATAACTATACATACTATACAGTTATGTATAGTTATAGAAGGTAGGTGAGGGGACGAGGGGACACACAGCACTCTGACACGACCATCGGCTAAAAGCAATAAATAACTTCCAACCCTCCCTTTCCTCCTCTCAACCCTTAGGAAGGAACCGTTCCTCTCTTCCTCCCTCGTCGCCTTGTCGTCGAAATTATAATTATATTATAATTATAATAATTATTATTATAATAATATAAACAATTATTAATGGGAAATAATTGCACCCAATGAGCTTCTATAATAGTAATACACTAAGTACTATTCGTACGATTATGGTCCTTTAAATAATAGCTGTTGTCAATTCCTGTGAAAAGTTACATAAGAATCAAGTAAATTGTAACAGTACAGGGAGAGGGGGAAGGAGGGAAGGCCTCCACCGTCATCTATGGAGGGAATATGAGAAGCGGAGTGTGGGGGGAGGGGTGTGGAAACAAACTGCCATTCACGGCCTTCACAGCCTTTCACCAACCTGTGCCAATTCATTCAGGAACCCGAAAATTATCTACGCAACTTTGAGGCTATGAAAGTAAAAACACATGCCAATGAAAGACGACCTGCATGCCGTAAATATTATGTTACATATAGGTATAATATCCAGCACAATTACTTTAACAATTAAGTCGTTCACCAATAAATCGCTTTCCCCGCCCCCGTGCTTTTATGAAACAGCCTAAATTAACTTGGTTGTTTTATCACAACACAGCATTGCCGTAAATTATGAACACTTATTGTCAATAAAGGTTATTAGTAAGAAAACAACCAATTTGATAATAGAGTACAATTTCGTAGAAAAATTAGTAGAATGTCGCTCGCTGATAATAAATGTGGAGGAGGGGAGTGGAGGAGGGGGAGTGGAGGAAGGGAATGTGCAGCCAGACGTAGGATGTGCCCGACGCTAGAAGGCAGAGCCTGGCCGAGAAATTTTAACCGCGTGAGGCCGTGTGGGCTCGATGCGGCGTTCAGCGACCGCTCCACCTGACTCTTTAAAGGTTGGGCCATGCCGGACGATGTGCGCCCGCAAGGCGCTGGTCGCGCAGCTCATTGACCAACAAATTCGTGTTGCTGCAGATTGACTGCATTGAGCGGATAGTGGCAAGAATTTCCGGAATGTGCGTTTCACAGCTAGTGCACAAGCTGGAGATATATACGTTTAATTAACAATATAAACCATTCAAAACCCTGATTCAGTCTTTCAATCAACAATTTCCTATGGAATGCTCTTTGAGTTATTCTTAGAAAATACTGCATTTATATCTACGTCATTGATCCTATAGCTAAACTTACATTACAAATGAACATACTTTTGAGAAGGGAGTTTTGTGTTGTTTGCTGTCAGCCCAGTCCGGCTGGTATTGGGTTTAACTGCTGCAGGATGTCGCTTTGCTGTAACGGGACCAAGTCATAAGTAAAAAAAGGCTCAACATTTGTTTAAATCCAAAACGAATGCATACGAGATTTGACATAACGCTCAAGCGATATCATCGGCTCAAGTTCACCTTCAATATATCCTCAACTTCCGCAGAGCACCGCCCCCTTCTCACCAAACATCCTTCAGTGACATCATGACAGTGTCCATCCAGCTAAAATCTTTCCAGCAGCAATCGGGGATTTTAAATTTTTTTGTTAAAGATAAACTAAAAGCTGTTCAATCAACAAACGGTTTAAGAAATTGACAGCAACTTCAATAAAGGTATTACTTTACATTGTATCACTTAACCTGACATTCCATAAAATCCGCAGTGCTAATAAAAATTATCATATTCATTTATAACTCACTGATGATTTTATATCACGGAAAAGAAAGAGGTTTAAATCAATCAAATGAATAACTTACCTTCCATTACCCCTGACTCCGACGACGAAGAGTCTGATGTGCCAGCACCCAGAAATTGAGCAGACCGCCTATAACGGGAAAAGCGTGCGGTGAAGCGGCCAAAAGATCTTCTTCAATTCCTGAAGAAAAATTAGGCACATGGTCGGAAGAATATGTGGTTAATCAAACCCTAATCACTCCATTCAGCCGACGCATACAGTCGCTTAAACGGACTCATAAGACACACTCTGTGCAACCACTAGAGCCAGTCATGTATCAAGAAACCCATCGTGCAAGTCACAGCCGAGAACAATTATTCCCAAACTCCATCTCCAAATCCATTATTGAAACCAACACTTATTTCTGCACAGGTCTATTACATGCTATCTACAAGGAATCCACCTATAACTTCCGCTTATTACACCCATCAATCAACTATTGTCTTCACTTTCGAATAATAACTGCATTGGGCAGCATATTAGACTGAGCTGATTCATAACATAACTTTCCAATTCTCAATTAAATAAAAATGATCGGTTTGACTAGATTTCCACACATACCCGATGTAAGGGTTGGTCTTCCGGATCTCTTTTTTTCCGTCTCCGACGCACTGATATCAGTGTTTGAGACGTCACCGATCTTCAATTTTCTTTCACATCGTGAGAAGTCATCTACAAATAAACACCAATCAATGCACAATTACACATTTAAAAGAAAGTGCTGCAAAAAATACACATTATCTTTATCGCAATTACACTTCAACAGAGCTCAAAATGAAAACATCAGGCAAATATGATCTAACAAAGCAATTGACAACCACAATCTCAAGGAAAAGTTTAGCAGACACAAAATTTATACATCATGGAAAAGGTTGATATTGTTAGGGGCACTACTAACATTCGAGCTCTAAAGGTCCGGTAAGACCAATATAGTATTGGCTTTTATCTCGTGAAAACTTGATGAAACAACCTAACAGCAGGACAAATGAAACACAATACCAATCCAGCTAAATGAACTCAAAACCAAGGAGACAGACAAGATATACATTGAGATGATATGCACATATGATGGTGAGGGGTTAGTGGAGTTAAGGGATGGTACATACACAGGATGAGAATGGATGAATAATAAGTAAGAAACTGTAAGAACCCTAACCAACTCTAAACTATCGTGGTGATCAGTAAAACGTGGTAAAATGAACAGTGACAATAAAACTTAATACTAACAGCTCACACACATAGAACTCTTCAGGGCAGGCTATCTTCCGAGTTAGGTGATTCCAAGTTTCCATCTTGAATCTCTAGCGTCCGGGTTAAGCTTCAGGTTATGCGCACTCTTGAGACTGGGTCAACCAGCTCCTAGTCCTACCCAGACTGGGCAACAGATCAATGGTTGCCTGTGACTCCCGAGTAACACTGGAGTACACCTTATAAGCAATGAGCACTGAGGCACTGAAAATATCACTGGATAGCACTGAATTACACTGGTCAGCATTGGCTGGCACTGAGTTGCACTGGATCACTGAATAATACAGATTGTACTGTGTAGTCCTGAGTATCACTGACTAGCACTGGGCGGCTGAATAGCATTGGGTAATACAAGGTGGCACCGGGTAATACTAGGTATCACTGGGCGGTACTGAAACAGTGGATAGCACGGAGTAGCACTGGAGTAACACTGGCACTAGGGTCACAGCCCTCCAATCAGTAACCTCGGAGCACTTGTCACACATCAATCCAGTAACCAGTAAAACAAATGTTGGACCAAGAGGACTACCCATTGCTACACCGTTAATTTGCTGGTACATTTTGTTGTCTGGGGTCCGAAAATGCGATTCTGAAGTACAGAGGCGGAGGAGATCAAGTAGAATATTTTTAGGGATTGATGGGGCCGGCAAAATTTCATTAGAGTAGACATGTATGACTATTATTTCTAGTGACTATATAAATAATATTATTCTATTATTTATATATTCTATTCTTCTCAAATCAATTTAATTGATTGAACTAGATGTAGTGTACCAATTTTTATAGCTTATGTGAATGTTAATGATGTGAAGTTTAGTTTTAGAGACGAGCTATGATGTTTAAGTTTTGAAGTTAGCATGGCTTAAAAGCGTTTGTTATGATTAACGAAGGTGCTGATTTTGAATGAATTAACGTCTAGGCAAGTTTCTGAATTGGGCGACGAGACCGCATAACATAGAAGTAACTTACAATAACGTTAGTGACGTTAGCTTCTGAACTAAAAATTCATTTAATTGTGCTTGTTATTGCTCATCGCTAAAGCTTTTAATGAAAATTGCAAATGTTCATTTTATTGGTATGTCACAAGTGATTTGTTGCTTTTCGTAAATGCGATATCATCTTTACGCTGTTTTTATATAACTTCATCTCATTCAGTATATACGAGTACATCAGCGGAAGTCGAATACAGCGACTGAAAAATCCTCGAGCCTCAGAAAAGGCATCTTGAGTTGATGTACGCAGTAGGGATGGGTTGCAAATTCGAAGCAAAGCCATGGATTCGTATTTAGAGTATAATTCTACAATTTTGTCAGTTGACCGTAATTGCATTTTATCGAATTGATTATGGTGGATGCAGCATAGTATTCACGGCATTCTTCAATACTTTTACCATGTCATGCAATGATATAATTCTTTTATGATATAACATAAACGAATCTCAAAGTTTTAAAATGTGATGTGAACTTGAACGAGTTTCAAGACTCTGATAAAATCCGAACCCGTAGCATAAATGAATAATGCTGATTAAAAGAATGTTCCATTGTACTCGTAGCATAACGATTAGCGAATTTTAATAACACTTCTAACCAATATATACCCGTATTATTTAAATTGAATTACGCTTTGAGTATTAAAGATGCCGTAGACAGACATCTAATTATATAACGCATGTACGACTATATATAAAAATAGTGTTTTAAAAGTCCATCGCGCAGTAGGACTCGTAAAAGGATGGAAGTTACGCGTATCGACGGGTATCTGCATTAACTGAAAAATACGAGCATTGAAGAATGTATCTATTGGCACCTGCGTGCGTATACGAAAAAGTGCATTAATTGACAAATATATGCATTGACAGAGCTTACATTGATGAAAGCCGGAGCTATAATGATGACCTAGACGTATAATTGATCTGTACTGTAGTAACGTCTTGTAAAGGTTTAAACAGGGTAATTATTAATGATTATGTGAACCCGTTTTATATTCAGTCATTGTAGCTAGATAATATACTCATCGACGCTACAATGTGTAATAAAATGCGTAACCTATGTTTTACGTACAATCGAGTAAAATCTATTTTACACCTGACGTTTAATGAGCTATTCATATTATATAATGATTTCTTGTTATAATATTCGTTTGAGATTTGAGTAATCTGTCATTTCGTCACAATTATGAATAATTGCTGCCCTTCAACCATTAAACCTTTAATATTCAATACGAGATAAAATGGGCCAAATATTGTTGAATTTCAAGAATTAAGAGATCGAGTATCTAAGATTCATCTAAATGCCTATATATAAAAGTATATATACTCATGAATGTCTAATAAATATGAAGTAAAACTTCATTAAAAATAAAATTGCAAAATCTTACTCAATTTTACAGAATTGAAGCAAAATCGGAAGCTACAATAGTCCCAAGAATATAAATGATTAGAATAACTACATTAATGTCAATAACGTACCAAGCATTGAGAATGCACGGAGCAGCAAATAATTGTGAGCAGTCTTGTCGGGTATACTTACCGAAATAAATGATTCCGCATTAATGAGTGAAAACGTAACCAACATTGATATAGGCAGTGAAATAATTCTGTATTACCGTATGTGTTATTCTAATATCTAGGACACACTAACTAATTAATTTTCGCCAATGTTTTTGCAAAAATCATGTTCAACTGTGCAATGCCGACTTACAAACTGTCTTTTGAGATTTTGAATGCAATATTTCATGTTTCTACTTTATATTTTTCTACCACTTTATCAATAAAGATAATGTGTAATATCTACTCAATTGCATTAAGTGCGAAAGAATATTAATTGATAAATTGAGCTATCCAAACGATTTCAAACGGCAGATTCAATCTTTAAGAGTAGATTAAACTGTAACAATTGCATTGCTTATTGTAACAGTCATGACCCTATCGAAATTCGAAGACCTGTCAGCCGCTGGCACACGGACGCCCCAGGTTCTTATGGCCGGGTAAATTAGAAGCTCTATGTCCGCATTAGGTTCCGGTTGCCGTAGCGAAATAAGCGCCGAAATGGAATCTTGTGAAATTACTCGTCGAGCTTGGGGCTGTCTCTTATACACATCTAGATGTGTATAAGAGACAGATCTTCACTACATACTGATCGATTGAAGGTTCGATTCAAACTGGCGAGTGGCGCCTTCCTATTCAATTACTGCAACGGTATGCTCTGTCCGGATGGGGGTGCGGGAGGTAGACCCCCACATACCCCCGTATGGCGGGAACTTAGATTGTTCGTGCGGTTTACCTTGTTCAGCAACTGATCAGCCCGATCGTGCGATAGCGTCATCAGCGTTTGACCAGGGGCATCATGACGAAGCTTGACCAGCTGCTCTTTTTAAGCATATTACGCAGATTTGGCCTACCGGGCAATTGACTTCCAAAAGAGGCTGGTAAATAGAAGCAAAACACCCTACGTGGCCGACTTGCTCATGATTCACCCCTAAGCCGAATATAGTTCCTCTAAAACGACCTTAATCGGCACGAAAATTTTGACAGGGGAGTAGATACAGCCGTCAAAGACTGGTAGATCACGTGCTTTTCGATGAGTTCAACATCCGAAAAATGCTGACAATCGAGTCATCGAAGCCAGTAAGATTATTTTTTCTTTCTCTCTGAGCGGACGAGAAAATTTTTAGCAATCTTCATTCTATGCAAAAATACCAATAACTTGTATAAAAGCCATAACTTGCTATGAGAATGTAATGTATTTACAGTTGCTTTACTTTTGTTCTGTTGCAATAATTGCACTATTATTGTGTGTGTTTTCTTGAGAAATAAAATTATGTGCATTTTAATATGGAAAAAATTAATATTTTGAGTTGAATATAAATGTATCTGATTTCGATAAATGTGTTAAGTTATAAATTAACTTTTCTAAAGCTCGATCATGTCGTGCGGAATTTTCTTAAGATAATTTTATATTGCTTAAAATTAATGCCGACAAATGATTTCATAATTCACTTGAAGAATTCGACAGCAATTCACCGAAAATCTTTTCGCTTTAAGCTCATAGAATTCAATGACGATGCAAGCATTGTTTGCTGAGCATGCGCAGCATCCGTTCGAAAATTTAGTCGTAAGCAAAATGACTTCACGTTCATCGATGGCATTTAAAGACAATGAGACAAGTGACCTAATTGAAATGCATAACAAGAATGCGGATCATGCAGTTCATTCATGATGAAACTTGCCAATGCAAGAAATATTGTGACATTATCAGTCAGAAGTGTTTATTTGTCACTGGGATCATTCAAGTGTAATGAACCAAAGTTAAATTTTGACAGATTTGCTGCTAAAGTAACTAATTCATGTATGTATCAACATTTTGTCACTTATCCGACGGATGTTTAAATATTTATGAGATGTTGTTTGTTCAAATATAACATTGATTGTATTTGAATCAAGCTCCGCTAATGACAAATAGTTTGATACAATTGTTGTGTTTACCACTCAAATGTAATATTTCACACGTTTGAAATTAACCTGTTGACGTGATTTGTAAACTGAATGCCTTTTTTGACGGTTTTATTCTTACTGCATTAAACCGTAAATGATTTTATAGCGAATTGTGTAACGATTACACGATAAACGATGATTTGTGCTTTGCACTTTTAAATTTGAATTGCATTTCAATATAAGAGTGATAGTAGTTACATGACCGAGCGCATGGTGCCATTTTCCATAAACAGCTTAAATTATAGTTTACCAACCATTTACCCCAAATCTTACCCAACAAAATTACCAATTACCCCTGATCCTTCAATATTATTACGAACAATTACCCCCGAATCTGCATAAACAGCTTAACAGGGTACTGATCATGAATATTGCCCAACACAATTAACCAATTACTCCCGAATCATGAGTTAACGATCATTTACCCCGATTGAGTCATTCGAGTCATTTACCAGGCTGGAATCATTTGAGTCAAACCAGCTTGAAACCTTGAGTCAGTTTTTTTTTCATGGTGCGCCCCCAGCTGCTAGCTGAATGAGCTATCAAAATTAGCTTCCACAAAAAACTCGCTCCAGATCCAGGACCGGTCTGGCAGAGGTAAGATCATCGCGCTAATATCGAGAATGTTCTAAAAAAATACTGTATTTACCCTAACTGATCTGTTATACATTAAGCACTGAACTCCCGTCGAGTGAGGATATTTCAGAAGGCAATCCCTACTTATTGATCTCGTACGGAAGAATCTACAGAGCAAATACGAACCTCAGTTTAACATAGTTACTCTACTTAAGGTGAAAAAGGTAAATGACTAATTTGTCGCATATATTGGGAATTGCGGTCTGTTTGATATACAAATGAAAGTATTTTAGTAGTCACGCGAAAAACAGGGACCGGTGGGGGTGATTGGATTTTCTATTCAAGTACCAAGAAAGAAATATTTAATCCGGAAAAAATAAGCTAATTCACCGTAATTATTCTGCAATACAATGCAGTATTTTTTCTGTATAA